TACTAACAACTCAGATTAAGTAAAAAAAGACCTCCATTTATTTATGGAAACATATTTAAATTCTGAGATACAACTTGATATTATTTCAAAGATACTAACAATAAACTTGATTATCTTGATATACTTGCTTGTCATCATAGTATCTTTAGTAACACGAAGGCTTCTTGAGACACATTGCAGCATTGAATGCAACATCAGCAAATATATACTATAATTTTTTTATATTAAATTATGTATCTAGATTACAAGTTAGATAGGCTGTAAAATAGTTCTCTGCTTTTAGAGCAGCCCATTAAAAATGAAGACCAACGATCTGGTCTAATACATAAATTCAAAAGAAATTTTTCTCTACAACAGTAAAACAGTTCTGGAAGCTTAAAGACAGTTATCAGCTCTTTCTTCAACATCAAAAATACAACAACATTGCATAAGAAGGTGTCCTCCGATTTGTACTGGGAGTTTTGACAATATCTTGCTTGCTTGCATATGTTTTTTTTTTTTTTTCTTTTATATGACACTGCAGTTTATATTTGTATAGTTTCAAGTTACAAATTTCTTAAAATTCTAAAAATAACAAGAACTAAATCAAACCCAGATTTTTCTTGAGTAGTTACATAATGCAACAGCAGAAACATGATTTTGTTCTAACCATTGACTTTTAGTTGAATTCCAATGGCATCAAAACAATTCAGTAGTCACCCGGTACCTCTCCTGTAGTATATTTACTGATTATTTAACAATAATTGTCGCAAACAAAGGATCTAAAAAAAAAAAAAAAAAAAAAAAAAAAAAAAAAGAGGCCAATATATAAAAATTTGAATATAACTGTTTGAAGTTAACTGCACTGAGAAGGGAGCTAATACAAAATAACCAAAGGGGCATTTTTGAGAGAAAGCATACTCTGAAATATAATAAAATGCTTTAGAAAATATTTTCTGTAATTTGCATTTTTTCTTTAAAAAAAAAAAAAAGATCATGAAACCCTAGGCTATGTTCTTGATATGTAGGGCACAACATAAACTGTGATGGTCACATAATCATATCCTTGGAGTGTCATAAGTTCTCATGATAAGCCTGCCTGCTGGAAATATTTTGCAGAAAGGAAGAGAGACACCTCCAGAAGGGACAATAAAGAAGATTAATCTGGCAGACAGACTACTGAGTGGTAGGTTTCAACAGCTTCGTGTGACTCTAAAATTGCCTTGTTGATTTAGAACAGTAACTATCTGCTTAGCACATTTCCTTTACCAGGAAAGGATAACAGTTAATACACCACAAACAGAAGCAATATTAAAGTATGGTTTAATATACAGAAAGTCATACAAGTTATCACTGCTTGAAGTGCCATATGAGGCCACCACCACCAACCACAACTGGATTACATGTTTAATTTCCCTCCTCAACCAAATGATAAATGACTTCAAGGCAGTGTGTTAAGATATCCAGAATTTTCATCAAACATCATTTTTAAAAAAACCCACCAAAATATAGCATGAAACAGAAACAACACATAGGATTATACTATTCTGTGAAGAAAACAAACAGATCTCCATTTTCAGAGTTAGTTACCAATTTGTTTTTATACCACATTATACCCATCTGACACTTAGGGTACTCTTCATGTATGGACAGTCAGATCTCCTGAAATGAAGTTACTGAAACAAATACAAAGCAGGGAAACTCACTTTTGTCTTTTCCTTTGCCTGGGAATGTTTGTTTCACATATATTGGTGACTGTCACGGCAGCTTTTGGTGTCTTAAGTGTCTCAAAAGCTACCCCACTCATTCCTTTGTAATGTTATAACTGTATTCAGAAAATGAATTGTTATACTGTAAATCACTGTCACCAATTCTCAGAAATGAGTATAGGACAAGTGAGTTGCATTGACCCAGTGTATGTGAGACATCCTTCGGGTTTGCTGTTTTCTGTGGTGTCCTTGCATAGCAATGAAACGGACTGCTTCTTCATCCTGCTAGATAGTAATCAACTCACACTTGCAATTTTTTTGAATTAAAAGAATCGTAATAAACACACAGACCTACCTTTGTTATTCCCCACTATCATCCTCTATTAGTTTTCATGAAACATTTTTTTCATAAAATGAAAAGGCAAAACAGGTGTTAGATTATTTATGTTTGACAAATTCGTATCATTTAAATAATTAAAACTAATTTGTGTTGAGAGCTACAGTTGCATTTTTATTAGAGAAACAAGTACAAATAGGCATCACTACAGAGCTGTTTATTCAATAATGAGATTAAATGAAATGGATTTCGTAGTCTCAATTCTTTCTGATTAATGTGGCAATCGGAACTCTAACTTCTGTGCCTTAACAATGTGGAAACAGCTGCTCACCCACTCTAATTCCATAAAACTTTTTTCTTTAAAGCTACACATTTTAAATTATTCCTAAAAAAATATTGTAAGCAAAATACCAAATGTTTCCGGTTTAAACAATACTTGCATTATAAACCTGAAATTATACTACTTTTTAATTTAATCACAAAAGAGAAAGTTTCATTTACAAATAGCAGTATTTAAATTTATATGTAACATAAAACTTTCTGCATATTTTTTTGCTTATATAATATAGAGGTTATTGTATTAATCTGCATAGAAAAAATATTGTACTCATAAAATAATAATAAACTCTAAATTAATTAGCCTACAATATTTAGGTACAATTTTAAGAAAAAAAAAAAAGTGAATTCAGCTACAAACAGGATGTGCTGTGTGTAAAATTGTCTGCTAAGAACCAGTTAAAGCAGCACAATACTTACCCTCTGAACAAATGCATCAACATAGAACTGCAGGTAACAATTATATCCTATTAAATGTTTTTGGATAAAGCAAAGCAGCAAACTTCTAGAAGCAACATATTTATATAACTATAATATACTGTTTTCTTATTTACTAAAGATTTTTCAAGCATTTTTAGTAAAGATGCAGCATATTATATGTACAGGGACTGCATTGCACCAGATAGTGACATGCTAAGCCATGATTGCCTTGCATTTAAGAGATACCATTTGATACCATTTATAGAATAAACCAGTCTCACTTTGTGAATCTGTGG